CCAAACGATGCACCTGCTTACAACTGTGTTTTACTGGGTATTTTTGTTTTCTAGTGGCGGGTTTTTTATACCAGCCTTATACTTTAAAATAAGAAAAAATCTTCTTTTAACATTTCTAATAAAAGTGGGTGTCTTCATCATCATTTCCTAACGGCGTTTTTCGAATCCGTTGGGAAGTTCGGGAACTGTGTGTTTTTTTTTAAAGCTAGAGATATTCTACGATGTTAATTTAGAGTTAAAAAAATTTCTTAGCCAATTAAAAAATTAAAAACTAAATCGTAAAATACGAAATAATATTACAAGATTTCTAAAATTATCGTTATAAAATAGTTTACATGTTTGTGCCTCGGACAATGTTATGGTATAATGAAACATAACTTAGTACTAACAAAAAAAATCGGGAAAAATTATTTTATTGTCGACACGTTAAATTCTTTGTAAATTTTTTTTACTAGTTCCCTTCTACTGAAACCTAACAGTTTTTGCTAAAAAAAAAACATGTTCTTATAGCCACAAACAATGTCATAATTGTATTTACCTTCAAAATGACTGATGTAGACTGTGGTGACTCAGGCATACTTTTGTTGACGTTCAAAATCTCTTACTTGAAGGAAGCATAGTTAAAGTGTTTCATTATTCTGCCGTCCGTTCAAACTAGTAATCTGAAAACTTCTGAATATAAATCTATAACTTTTATACGGGCCTCTAAGTTCGTACTCATATTGAAAAGTGTCATTATTATAAACCGTTGCATTCATAGCTGCTAAGAAGTCTCATATGTAGTGGTTGTAAGTCATTCACTAAGGCCACCAATCTACAAGAAGGTATAAGGTGAAGTACTAGGTTATTTATTACAGCACAAAGCAGCACAAATCTCTAAGTTAGCACATGGTCCAAGAGAAATGTTAGTTGAATTGGATGCGGAGCACAGTATAATGGAGCTCATCACTGCACTTTAGTCAGTAAGCACGTGTTGACACAAGCACGAAATTTATGTTCGTTACAAAAACTGGAAGTCCCCTTAATTTTGTAATACGTGATAAAAGCTAGTGAGACGTAGTTTGAGGTGTTAATTGGAGCTAGTGAAACGTAGTTTAAGGTGTTAATTGGAGCTAGTGAGACGTAGTTTGAGGTGTTAATGGGTATGGAGCTATTGTTCTTCCTAGATGTAGGGTTTGCTAACTTTTACGTCATCAACTATACAATGGCCATAACCAGGACAGTTGAGCATTACTAATAAAAGTGTAGTAGTGAAGATGTGCAGGCACTTGACAACAGTTTAGTTCAACTTATGTAGGGTATTTTGAATATTTAGTCTTGGCAATAAGTGTGATGGGATTGGTTCTGGACCAAGTTCTCAATAGGCATTGGCAAGAGGAACGGTTGGAATATATTTTGTTTAGTGTGCTGCATAGCTTTGGCAAGAGGGATGGTTGGGATAGATTTTGTCTAGTGTGCTGCATAGCTTTGGCAAGAGGGACGGTTGGGATATATTTTGTCTAGTGTGCTGCATAGCTTTGGCAAGAGGGACGGTTGGGATAGATTTTGTCTAGTGTGCTGCATAGCTTTGACAAGAGGGACGGTTGGGATAGATTTTGTCTAGTGTGCTGCATAGTTTGTAATAAACTCTTCAGTTGTAATTCAAGTTTGGCAAATTCGCTTCTCTATTATTTATTTATCTAGTATTAACGAAATAACGCAACATTTTCTGTTTCTTATCTTCCTCAACCACAATTTGAGTTACAACGAAACAGAAATTGGACACCCCTGTGCTGAAACTTGGCAAGCAAATCGTTCAGAGTGGCTCTAGTATTGCGAGAGCTATTCGGGATCCCTTTGGGAGCAATCAGAAAGAGGCTGGGTGGTTAATTATGCATGCGCTTGTACTATTGTAATTAGAGTTTTTGTAATATATATCAGTAAATAATACATGTTCTAACCTCTCGAGCAGTCACGTTGGAAAATACTCAAAGTGGGTGTATTTTGATAACTCTACTAAAGATTATTTTCATAAAACGTTAACGGCGTTATAATTGTTATGAAATTTGCGAAGAGCTATAACTGCAGATTTCCATATTTCTATGTTATTTAATTTTAAACAGTAACGTAATCATCGCTTGAACTCTAAGCTAAGTATGTTTAACAAATTTAATTTATACCTCCAAATATTCCGTCTCTTATGACTGCCTCCCCCCCAGTGGCACAGCGGTATGTCTGCGGACTTACAACGCTAGAATCCGGGTTTCGATACCCGTGGTGGGCAGAGCACAGATAGCCCATTGTGTAGCTTTGTGCTTAATTACAAACAAACAAACTTATGACTTTAAGACTTAATGGTCATTTTAGTCAATCAAAATGACTAATTTTTTTAAATAAAATATAACAATGGGAGCTAAACTGTAATGCTTTCATTACAGTCAAGATTAGGGTTTGAAGCAATTAATTAATGATTAAGATCACCAGATGGGGCTAGTGCATCAATATGACTTTCTTTTACAGCTTAACTATTGTAAGCCAGATCCTAACCTTGGTGCGATCGCTGTAAATATTCACATCTTAACTTGCTAGATGTATTTGAAAACATATCATTCTACACTGGTACTGCAGTAACTTACAAAAACAGCTGAGTTTTTTTTGTAACGTAATATGTGAATCAATGGATCCCAAGAAAAAGTATGACGAAAAATCAACAACAACTTACAAAAACGCATTTCGTAAAACCTAGTAGTAGAAAAGGGAATTATCTACCAGCAGCCTCTTTAACACAGGGGCATAAGGAAAGTTCACTAAATATTTTTTCGTAACCTGTGTTGGAACATAATAATTCAGCTGCTTCCCATGATAATGCCTCAAAACTTAATTGTGTGGCTGTACTTGATGTATTTAAAGCTTCTTTCGTTTGTTTTTACTTTCATATAACGTTTCTATGTGGTATCATGCTACAATGGAATAAAACTATAGGTGTATCTAACAGGTGTACAGACTGAATGTCATCAAGTGTTTTCTGCATTCGAACTCCAGATATGATCAAGGAATTGCCAACTGATTCACTTTATGTCTCGTTTTTTTATAAAAGCTAGTAGAGTTTGGTTGTTTTAGATTACACAAGGACTATCAGCGCTGGCCGTCACCAATTTTAAACTGATAGCCTAGTAGGACGGCAGCTAACTAGTGAACATCCCTTATCGCTAACTATTGGGCTATTCTAATCGATATGGGGATTTGACCGTCATTCTTATAACACAACCACGGTCCTAAAGTGCGGAGTGTGATTTTGTAGCAACGAGAGGCGAACCATGGACCTTCAGATTGGGACGCTAAATAATAGGCCATACCTGGCTCGGAGCTAGTAGTAGATGTCCTAGTAGTAACTGTTGTTGTTTACATAAACTTCTCCAGCAGTATTTCGCTGTTAGTTTTTGTGAAACTAACTTGAAAAAGTTC